AACATGTTGAATCACTGTATCGATTGTCACCTAGGTGGAATATGTATGTCCACCAACCACGTTAAAGCAGAGGATATTTGCTTTTCGAACTGTTATCTTCGTAAATAGCACCTCTGTCACGGGAAGACAGTGAGTAAGATTTCCTAAACATTGGTTATATACGTGTGGTCATGTATGAGAATACGGAGAGTTAGAGCTATCTGTCCTCATCCTAAATCGTACCAGGGCATTTTGTGGCCGTTAGTGACGAATAATCAGTTAGACCGATATACTTCAATTGTTGCAACAAACGGAACTAGATAATAAAATGAATTACAGTATTTGCTATAAGTGATCATGAATGTTGATCATATATTAGTAGAACCATAACTTAGAATGATGGGTTCGATGTAGGAAAAGTTCATTTTCTACTTTCGAATATGCAATTCAGTTGTGATCAATGAAACGAAACTTACGAATTAAGAATTCCAACGGAACGTCAACAATAACGAAGACTTTTTTGCTGATGCGTTGCACACGATATGGATGCTCATTTCTGAGGATTCCGATAATAAACAGAAACGGCCTTCTAGTGCTTTCAGGTTCCCAATGTTCGTCTAATATCATTAGATTCATGATCTCGATCGAAATGTATGGAGCAAGAACATAACTCTATCCTGATCAACAACTATTCTCATCACTCTACCTAAAATTATGAAAAATTGAATAATTTAATCTGTATTTCAACAGTATTCAATAAAAGAATTCCATTTTACGTGCGTTTGAAATTTCACTAGAGAAAACACACTTTATTTGAACCCGAAACTTTATACTGATATCTTTGATAGGATTATGATTGTGTTTTCAGATAATCAAAGTCCAAACTGACGCACGTTTTATAAGCAAAGGTGGATAATGGCGAGCAGTGCATTCCAGGACCTCCGTCCCTTCCTAATAAGGACTCGTCAGTCAGGTGTATCTGCATTCCAGATTCGATGTCCACTATTGGACCCGAATCTTGTAGTTATCTATTCAAATACCTTCGCGATATTCATTAAACTTATGAATATTTTAGACCGTTGAATTCACGAGTCAATCTAAACTAGAAGACAATTGAAAACATGGAAGCACTAAATAGCCGTTTCACCCTAGTACGAGACTCTTCAACAATACTCGTCCACAATTTTAAACACAGAACTGGAACTCAGGACATACGTTTAACCTCTAGACAAGTATTCCGACACGATCATAAATGTCCACTAATGAAGAGTTCCATAATCTGACGAAATAACTATGTACTATTTCTAGGATTATAATGGTGTATCAAGCTAAGACGAACTGGTCAGTTCACTTATTCAGATCACTGCAATCTTCATATTGGTGAATGTTTTATTTATTTTACAGACAAATATATTTATAAGTTATTTCATTGTTGGCAAATTAAGTCATCTTCTGTTGGCAGCCATATTATTATGTGATGTATTCTTTTCAACTTCATCAATCAATACGGATATCGTTAATGTCAACAAGATCAAAAGTTGCATATTCACGTTTCAAACGACAGAAACTCTGGACGATGATCAAAGTCTTGATTTTATTGTTGTTGTTTATTTAATATGGAGCCATTTAAAAGCTTTTGTGTGTGTGCGCAGTGATTATATTTTTTTTCCGTTCTAATAGATTACAGTTCATAGTGTATAAAGTGATATCAATAGTTGTTATCTATCTTCAGTGTTCATTAATTTACTTAGATGAGGATTGTAGGAAAAGAATCACTATCATAGAATAGTTATGATATAGGAGATATATCATCTTCATCTTAGTTTGTATCAACGACTGTAAACCTGAAATTCCATCTATTACGTAATCACAGATTGTACCAACATGTTACATTACAGCTCTGTGTAACTTTTGAAAAATATATTCAATTGTAGAATAGTACTGAAATATTCACTGAATTATGTCATCTGATACAGATAAACTCATCGTAACAAATGTATTACACATATCATCACAAAATGAATTCATTTAATCGATAATTTGTATTGATGATGGAAATAATCGATAGTGTAGTGAAGTAAATAGATTAGTTGAAATTAGACATTAACACCTAATTTTGCCGGCCGGTTATGTTGTCTGGAGGTTAAGCGTGACGGACAGGACCTAGGTTTAAATTTGGAGCGGTGGGATCGTGGATCCACCCTGCTGAGATGTAACACACTAGAACAGAACAATATTTCAATGCTTCTATTTTAGTCCAACTTCATTGGGCTCATGAATTCAACTATTAAATAAATATGTTTGAAAAGTTCAATTAAACACTCAAGGGAACTCCGGTACTATAATGTTCATCTGAATCTAGCATAAGCTGTATCTCATTCAGAATCAGCTGATCTACTCTTCTCAGATGCTTCAAGAAAATCAACCTTGATGGTTACAAACCCATTTTGAAGAACAATAAATATGACAAATCTCATGAGTGAATAATCACCAAACAGTTGTATGCTAATACACACCTCACATTTTAAACCAAGGTTCGTATGCAGCAAACGCTTTTCTGAATATATGAAAACAATATTCCATCTGAAATATCAGTGTTCCAAGAAAAATCCAGCGCATAATGTTTCACTGCTATAGGCAATGTTTAGTGAAAGTGTTCAAGAACATGAAGTGTTTTACATGGTTGTTACACTTAGATCGATATAACTGAAGGAATAGGTGTTAGACCGTTTTTAAATACTTTCTGTCTACATCTTTCTTAATGGCTTACGATTCATTGACCAAAGCGTTCAGCTCGGAACAGAAGTAGATTCATGAAGGAATTGAGAAATAGAACGATTATTATTGATGTGAAATTAAAAAAACACCAAAATGGTTGAAATTATGTTTGTAATATCGATCATTATTTTATAAGTTGGGGTCAATTATATTACGTCTTGGTATTAGAAATGTGATGAAACAGGAATTTGTTACAGGTAGTATGTCGAAGTGATAAATCTTAAAATCAACATTTACGGAAAAAACAATGTTTGCTTTGTTAAAGTATGTAATCATGATGAAAATATCTTCAATGTCTTTGTCTTGACTAGAAATATTGAATGAGGTTAGCACAAATCCGCTACAGAAAAGTCTTCGTTATTAGTGATATTATGCCGAAATTCCCAGTCTGACCACAAGCGCCTTAAATATTCAAATGCAGAAAACGAAGTTAATGTCCAACAGGTTCATCATACTGATTCATGATTCTGCTAATATATGATCAACTTACAAAACCAATTATTACAAATAATCTAATTCGTTTCATGATTGAACTTTATGTGTTGCAATAATTGGAGTATTTTGGTCTCATTCTTAATTGATCAATCACGGACCTCAAATGTCCTGGTAGGATTAAAGATGAGGAGAGATAACTCTCTCTCTTTCTGTATGCTCATACAATGGCCACACGTACATGGTCAGTGTTTGGGAAGTCACACTTACTGCCTTCTTGCACAATGGATGTTGTTTAAAAAATTGAGGGAACAGAAGGCGAATATCGGGCGAACCAACCAGGTCTGTGGACACAAAGGACCCACATAGGGAAGTTTGGAGACCATAATTCCAAATCAGTGGTACAAATGGGATCCAGGATACTGAGAGAAAAATAGTGTTTAGACAAATGGCTGGTGATCGGCTAACATGGAACAGCATCTTTTGACGCTGCTCCACTGTTTTGTGGATCTGACTCGTAGGTCGAACACATCAATCGTGGCCTCATATCTATTCAGTGCCCCAAATTACCAATATTTATGTTTTGAAATAAATAACGGTTCTTTGTCAATTGCCATTTCTACTGCAAGATATCACTGATTCAATATGTTTATACGGATTCTACTCAATGTGTCTGTCTATCCAGTTACATTACACAACGAATCGTGCAAATCAAATCACATAAATCATAATTATTGGTGGTCTATGGAAATGAATAAGTAAGCATATAAAATCCAAACAACAATCGAATTCAATAAATTTCTCAATTTACTGACAATTCTTTACAAGCACTCTATTCAAAACACAAGTAAGATCATATTTGTAATAATAATGATAAACATCATGCACAATTGAAGAGTACGTTAATTGATCTACTATCATCAGTGAATGAACCATTGTAGCTTTCTGGCAGTTAGTCATGTATTGAGTCATACCTATGTACATAACATTTTCAAAAGCTCTTTTCGAAGTTGTTAGACGACATTTGACCTCCAGTATGTCCATCTATTAATCTTAATCCGAATAAAGATTATTTAATCAATGTGATGCATTAGACTAAACATTATCATTTGATAATTAGGATCACGGCCTAGATTTAAGGTTTACCATCAGGAACTAATATCAGGTAAAACGTCAAAATACTGTTTAGACAAATGGCTGAATAAATTTCAGACCATCGTTCTCCTAAATTTGATTCATTTTTTCATTACAGATAGTCTCTACAAATTCGCAAAATCACTTATATATAGATGTAATTTTTTGCGTAAGAAGATAATTTTTATTGAATCTAAATCAATTGTTTATAAGATTCCAGGCGGGATGTTTACATAGTATTGTTCCTTCGTTTCCACACTAATCCTTTTTATTCTTCTCTTCTCTTCTCTTTGAACTTGTTAGCTTTCTGTCGCCAGGCACTTCACTTTCGACTAATAATACGTACTAGTTATGTCCGTCAGCATCAGTAATATACGCCGCACTCATCTCCACCCCTTTAAGCGATTTAGTTGTATCCGACTGTGTTCTATTGCAATAAAGTATATTTAATAACTGATCACATTTATTGTGAAAGTTTTATATGATACTTTATTGTTTATCCTAGGATACAGCTATGAACATGATATTTGTTATGGTTGAATGTCTTGATTTGACGAACATTGAAAAAGTCAATAAGATGAATATGATGGAACATGTGGATCGTTTATTGGTTGTATCAACATATACCAAAACAGTAGATTATGCTTTATCAATAATAAAATCATTCACAATGATAGGTGCTTATACTCGTTGCAGTACAAATATCATTAACATTTGTGATCATAATGCTCACATCATTACTGTAAATTACATAATCAGTAATAATAATTGTCTTTATATAGTAGGGAAAATGTTCAAAACAACTGGCAATTGATATCGCCCATTATTGCTGGTTTATTCCTGTATGTTATGTCATTTTTGTTTTACAAATTATTGATGATTCGTTTATTAAGTTTACAAATTATTCATAATGTAAACTTGAACAATGCATTTGAATTATTATAAGATAGTTATTGAATATTTTAATTAGGTGACGGGGTTAACTACTTAGTTGCTTAATTAGGCCTGTTTATCCTCATTGAGGATAACAGGCATTCAACCACCACTCTCCATCCAATTATGTCATCAGCAATCCGTTCGAGTTCTTTCTGGATGCTATTCATTCATTTCACGTGAGATAATAGTGTTGTAAAGATTTTAGTGAAAACCGATTTGGTAATATTTATACTAATTAACATCACAAATCCGTAGATTTTGAGTATCCTTATTGTGATAGGTCTCACAAATTCACCTTGACTAAAACGAAATTGACTGTGACATAATCGGACCCATTATGATTTTATTTGTATTAGAACGAATACTGAATTTTTACTTCCTTACAATTACAAATTGTGTTAGTTCTATTTCAATTATTTATTTGCTCTGAAACAGTGGCTTAAAATAAATCACAAAACATGAGAAGTACAATTTTCTACTCATTGCCGTATAACAAAACAAGAATGCTTCCAATAAATAATCTAAACATGTTACCATGCACATCAAGATTTCGTAGTTCTGTAATTAACAATTTTGTTATGTAGACTACACAATTAACTTTAACGGAAAACTTCGATTATTGTGTGCTTGTATGTCAGAATAAAACAATCGACTATCATTCTGTGATTGTTCTTTATCAGCATGTTGTGAATTGCTTGGTTATATATGTTCACTATTTAATATACCAATACTAACATACTTACCGTCAAGTTGTATGCTTTCTTTTCCGTTGCTATTAAACTAGCCTTCTCGGTCTCACACACTTCACGTACCTAGACAGATAGCTACTCTGTTTGTTAGAAGTAGCATCGGTCTCGTAACTTTCGAAGGATTTTAGGTTTTGTCATGATATCTCTTTGAAATCTCCTTGAATTTGGAGTGTAGAGTTTAAATAATTTAAATTGCTCATTATGGTTGTCGTTTTTTGGCGAGGTTGATTTCTGAGGGATAGAGTTGTCAACACCGCGAACAAATCATTCTCCTTTACACGTAGTTATGACTGTCAGTAAACCTGGAAGACCTACAATCGCAGTTAAACAAAATATTCTAATCAATTATGTCTGTTTTCTTTTGTAGTTTGATCGCAATTGTGATAGCAATATTGGTTGCTTTCGCGAAGAAGATAAATGAGAATTATCCACTGAATGTCGCGCTTGCAGTTGTTTTCGTGAGAATTTATGATAATTTTTTCACATTTACTATATTGGTCCGTTTAATATGATAAAAAATATGTAAACAATAGCAAGATAATAAGCCAATATGACTGACGAGATTCGGTAAAGCAAAATTCTGACTGATCTGCATGTCGATTTAGATCTTTGATCTGTTGAGATAGATATGCCAGACGTTTCATTCATAGTCACAGCATCTTTGTAAGTTACAGAGACCAATTTTCACAGAAATCAGTCAGCAAGAAAGTGAAAACACATTAAGAAAGATTTATTTGATGAAGGAAAGTTGTAACGGTTGAGTTTCACGTATGAACGTCAACCTAATTTAGACGAATATCTACACTTGATTCACTCCCAGTGTCTCAAACATAACTCAGATCAAGAACACTTGATTAGGCTGACTACAACGTAAATATATTTCCACACCGTAAACTCAACAGAATCCAACATAACTGAACAATGAATGATAAGTGAGCAATAATAATAAGGATAAGAGAATACGTAACTCGTCTGACACCTGGCAGACTATCTACATGTCTGACTAAGCAGACAATCAATCACTATCATTCGCATCCACACATCAACAATAAATTGCATACGAGGATAGTTTGAAGATTAACGTGGGAGGAATAAATCTAATGTAATCAGTTACACCTTCATGATGAAAGGGAAATTTGTTTAAATTGAGAAAATGATAACACCAGTTTCCGACTAATGATAAGGTGTTCGTTGTCTCCAATTCTCTTGATTTTTTCCATGCATAAGATAGAAGAGAATCGATTCAGATCGGTAATCAATCAGAGGTGCTGCATCAACATTCTGTGGACGTCAGTGTAGGAGGAGAACGGTGTCATTCTACCAAACTTCTCAGTGTGGTTGAGATGAGAATGACTACTGGATGTCTAATGAATTCGATGTACTGATACTGAACGAGTTATTGAAATAGTACAATCTGAGTTACTGAAGACATATACCTTCGTTGAATCTTTTTCTATGCAACAAATTAAGCCTGATTGGTGTATAAAAAACTATGTCTCATCGTCGACTAGCTATTATTAGTATTTTTGAAATTCCATTTTTACTCCAGTGATTTCAAATGTGATAAAATCTGATTCTCTCTCTAACTGTTTATCACTTCTCCATGATTTTATTCATTAATTCTTCTGATATTAAGTGATTGCACTAAGTGTCGAGACGCCTTCCGAGAACTATGATAAGCGTCCAGAAGACTTAAACAAGCTAAAGAGATTCCATCTTTTTTCTCTCTCCTGGCTTTATGACTGTGGGGGTCATAAGTTCGACTAATATAGTTGTATTATAGAATTCTGCGTTAATCAAGTAGATGACATAACACTAGGGTCTTCATTTACATTTTTAACTATTGAAGCAGCAATTTCCAGCATTCATATGATAATCGAGTGGTCAGTGTTCACTCTACTAACCATTTTATTTACTATCATCCAGCACAAGTATCATAACATTTTATAGTTATCTTCTATACTACATCACCTAGTACTATAATTTTCTTATCAAATCGTCATGCCTAACACATTATCCACACTTTTTCACAGAATTAACAGTCACAATTATGTAAATATGTATCTAGTCTTAATGATCAATCCATAGAAAAACTAAGAAATTGTTCATTGAAGCTTATGTTCTCAATGTCCAAATGAGAGCTGTGTTTGTGGAGATTATTAAATGTTTGAGTAAGACAATGAACCGATAGATGTTAGGGTACGATTGAAAGCCTGAAAGCACTGCACGGATGATTCATTCTATTGCAGGATTCCTCCGTAGCGCGCCTCGACAATCCTTCATGAATTTAAACTTTGGTAATGATACCTAAATTAAATCAAAGTCCAATTTATGTAACAGTTATTAGTTTAGAGCTATGTAGTCTTGATTTGCGTAAATTCCTGACTACCAAATGTATTGAGAGTATTAAAGGCGAATATTAGCTGCCTTAGCATGTTTGGTGGATATGAAGGATTCACCATCTCCTATCTCGATAGAAAAATCCATACCTTTAGAAAACACTATTATCAGCATACACATACAATAACAGCACATATGAATGAATATGTATTCTACTAAAACTATAATATTCTTTGTCATTTTCAGTCTTTTTGCATGGCAACAGCATTCGGAGTTTTGGATACACAGTTAGATGCTTTTCACAGATTGGCGATCTTTGGAATCAGTTTGGTGTTATTCACATGTGCACTATTGATTGGGGCAGCGATTAAAACAGACTTGGCAGATCGTTTAACCAGTATTCTAATACCCATTTTGGTTATATCTGTTCTCATTTTGACAGTCGCGGTTGTGCTCAATTTATGGAATGAATACAAGGTATTATAGGGAATTTAAATATTTGATTTCTAAATGATGTTATTCTGATTGAATATAATTTGATGTCACAACATTTAGAAATGTTCAGCACCATATTTTAGGATAGCTCCCACCCCCAAAATGTACACTGTAATCTAGTTAGTACGTAATTAACATCTGTAAACATTTGAAGCCTGAGATGAATTGATCAAAAGTCCAAAGTATCATGTTAGCTGGACTCGTACGTTTCGATATTATGGTATTCGGTTGTTTTGATTGATATCATGTAGTGCTGTAGTCTTGTGTTTAATATGAGAAACCCGTGAACAGGGTTGGGAAGTTGAACAGATTATCAAAAAAAGAGAAATTCATGTTGGCAAAGCAAAGTAGCAATAAACATTGGTGTCGTATAAGAGTGTAGAGTTGTTTTGAAAGAGAATAAAGGTGGAATCGTAAAACATTCTGTCCGTTGAAGGGTAAGTTGCAGTCGTTCATACCTGGATATTTTGCTGCAAAAAATGCATTTTTTTAACATGTCAGGCAGTCAGCTTTGAGCGATTTAGTATCCTCACAATCCTGTCACAAGTATATATTACGATTACTCTGGAGAATGATTTCTCATCATTTTGATATCATATTACAGAAGTACTCATTGATTAAATTTATTAGATTCATGTTTGAGTGTTTTTCAATGTAAATAGGATGTAAAATTGTCGAAATGAATTCATTGATACATCTTTTTGTTTACAGAAACCAACGATCGGTGTTTTTATAGGTGCACAAATATCATTGTTCATTGTGAGTTAAATTGATGTACATTTTTATTGATAGAATGATCACTATGATGTAGATCTAAATCATTTTTTTCAAATGAATTCTACATAGCCTTATTGAGATCTCTACGGAAAATTGTCTATATATGATATGGTTCCATGTAAACAGACTTTGACACTATGGGTTATAAGTCATTTTTATGACAAGCTGTGACAAATGGTGTTCGATCCATATCGGGTAGAGACAAGTCTAGCGTTATGAAACATGTGCCTAGATGGCTTAGAAACCTGTCTATGTAAAAATTTTTGATCAACGTGACATGTAGAAAATCATGTTGATCGGTAGCGAAACACATAATGGAGACGTAACACATAATTGACATCCAGACAGCTTCGAAAATGTCGTGTAAAAATTGTGAAGGAAAAATTGAGAGGTTTATGGAAGCTTTGTTTGTGGCTTTGAAACAGTTATCGACTTCACACAGTTGATGAAGGTTAGCCACAGATGAGGTCATAGGAAGAGGTGGAATTATTATTAAATTTGTAAGGTTTTCAAATTGTGAAATTGTAAACTGATGTATGTTTGTTTGTTAATTTTACAGATAACAGTATTTATAAGTTATGTAACTGTTGGCAAATCAAGATATTATCTCTTTTATCCAAATTATTCACTGGCAGCCATATTATTATATATCATGTTCTTTTCAAATTTGTTAGTCAATACAGATATAAAGATGGTCTATAACAGGACTGAAAGTTGTATATTTCAGTTCGATGCCCAAATTGATATGAACATTTCATGAACAGTTGAGTTATAATCCTAAAATTTGTTTCCTGTTTTACTGTTTTTTTTGTATCTTATTTGCTACTTCTTAGATGTCGAACTGTAAACCAATATGTACCCTCTTGTTTTTGTTTTAGTTGTTGTTGATTTAATATTCAATCAATTAAAAATTTGTTTGCGTGTAAACAGACTAGTTTGTGCATTTTGTTCTAATGGATTACAACGTCACTTACAAGATCATGATTATGAAACAGGTGCATCATATAAATTACTCTACTTAGATGAAGTTATTTTCAAATAAATTCTATTGATGTTGTTCTATTTTCACGGTCCCATTGTTATTTGGACAAATCATAGAATCAACATCAACTGTAAGATGTAGATACATCCATGTGATGCGTCTTAAATGGAACAAAACACGCAAAAAACTGGATTCCACTACTAACCACTATTTATTTTCGCCAAAAATACTTGTCTATTATTTTTTCTGAACTTATCACTGTGTTCATTAATTTCATAATTTAATTAGGCGCGTATATGACATATTTAAGTTCATCCGCTGTACAATTTACAAAAACATACAGTCTGAAGCATGATACTTGACAGGTGATATGCACTGAAAAGAATGAAGATTGATTGAGAACTGCTGACATCTAACTGGCGATCGTCAGAATCGATCAGAAAATAAATAAACGGAAACTTGTTGAAATTGTATTAGTAATATCGATTATTATTTTATAAATAATGGTCAATAATACTCAATGTTGGTATTAAAAATGTAATGAAACAAAAATTACTTACTAGTACCACATCGAATTGACAAATTTTCAAATGAACAATTGCGAACAATTATATTCAAACTTCTATATTTCGAGGAAAACTTGGCTCATTTTGATGAAATTTCGGAAAGCCGCTATAGAATATTTTAAGGGTATATTCGGGAATTTCCCCTAAATTTCCCTTAAACCTTGGAGGAGGTTATTTGATTTTGGAAGTTTCCCCAAACTCGATTGATTGGGATAAATAGCCGGAACATTAGTATTTGTAAATGAATGACATAGAATGGAACGGACAAGATTTAAGTTACGGTTGAATGATGATAACTAATTAATTATACTTCAGACAAGAATACCAGGAATCAAAAATTCAAACAATCAAAGTATAAATTCAAGTAGTTATTCATAGCAAATTTGATTATTGTATGTTCATTGAAATCTTTCCATTCACTTGATTAATCATATGTACATAGTTATTGGTTGTGATGCTTGACTTCTTTCATAAGTACTTGATTTGCAAATCCACTACCAATTGTCCTTCACATCATTCATGGTTCTTCGACGTGTCAATTCCTTTGTGAATCCATTTCTTTTCTATTCACTTAAATCTTCTCAACCTTCTGCTTTCAGACATTCCATTTTATGCCTGATATTTCATGCTACGGATGTTGGTAGATATAAGTGGTATACAATATAGATTTATCATTGAAAGTTGCAACCTTGAAGAAGGTTGAAGAAGGACTCTAAATTCACAGGACAAATAATCACATTTGAAGTGAAGAGTAAAATGTTTTTCTAACAAAAATTTTATTTTATTGAAGAAAGCGTTCTTTTATTCGAAAATAAATTTCAAATGCATCTGGCACAATTCACTGATTATATTTATTTATTTTAAAGGTTAACATGATGAGTCATTTGAAGTTATACCATCATGGAATACCTGGAAGCAGTGGACGATGCGAGACCGATAGGTTCTGTGTTCTAATCTTATGAGGCAAGATCGTGGATACGGACTGCTTGGAAGTTCCATAGTTAGATAAAACGGCCATCCAGTGTTTCCAGCTGAATAGACAAAGATGTAAAAATTAACGTTTAAGAATAAACCATCAAGGTACATTACAAAGATTGTACGTGTACGCAGTTTCATATACATTCATACAACGATCTTACGCTTTGTGTTTAATATTTGCCGTCTACTAAGAACCGCAGAATTTCAGCTTGAATATGTGGTTCATCATTTTCTAGAGGAACACTGAAGAATTCAGTCTTCGATTTTGTTGACAATATCTGTACTAATATTTTTATTATGCATGATATATAACGGTAATACATAACATCTAATTTATATAATCCTGTGCTACGAGTTCATCCAGTCTGCGAAAAGAACAAATACTCTGTGACCAATGACCAAAAGCTTGTTGTTCTGATGCATCAAAGCCCTGCTAACTGAAGGGTGATGTTTACGTTGGAAACGGAGAAATATATTACGCAAGCTGCCAGAAACCAGCGCGATAAAAACGGGCTCAAAGCAAACGTGTATATATATAGCATAAAATTGACGTGCAAGGTATTGCAAAATAGCACACCAAGACATCCAACAAATCAATGGTATCTAAGATTCTTCCAAGTAAGAAATACGACATGAAGGTGAAATTCAGTGCTCTTGCACGTGAAGAAAAATTTCAGATTTTTAAAACAAATCGACAAAAATAAGATACTTACCGAGGGAGAAAGCAGCCTATAACATACGCAATCGTCAGCTTTTTTTCGTTTCGTATTCATCGAGTGGATGAGTACTTCATGTTTCTATGTAACGATAATTATTCTGAATAAAATATCTTTTGTTGTACTCCAAAACGTTAATACGGATTAAGACGAGAATGAAAAGTTGAAATAATTGGACGATTTTGAGCACTACTAGTTGGTGAATCATTTCGATTACTTGTAATTTCCATATAGTTCTATCATTCTGTATGAAAATACACTGACTGGAACAAATAGTGGGCTTTTGTGAAACGTAAACTGTTGAGAAATGTTTAGACGGAATATATTGCAGAACCATTTAACACCCATTCCTCCAGTTATATAAAACCAAGTGTAACACTGTGGTGTTTGAATGAACTAATGACTCCTTTGTACTTGTTGAATGTTTGATTTCGAATTCTAAATACAGTACATTCGTTAGTGCTTGTGTAGTACTTCTTGATTCAATTGCGTTATCCCTGGGATTCTTAGTTCATACTATAATTCAATTACTTCAAATTATCATATTGGCGTCGCGATGGGGCCTGCGATGGAACAGTTAGATATTCATTCAACCTCTGAAGATTTTGAAGATTATTTGGAAAGGTTTGAAATTTGGAGCATGACCAAGAAAGATGATGAGAATATTAATATTGTGGCACATTTTCTCACATTCATTGGAAAAGAAGCATATGGCTTATTAAAAATTTTGGCTTCACCGGAAAAGCCTATTTCTCTTCCTTATACAACTCTCAAGGAACTACTTCTAGACTATGCAAAGTATACAAATTTCGAATGCGGTCAAGGGAGATTTCGTAAAATAATTTATGAGGATATAAAAAATTCCACTATATTACGTCACCCCATCCCAGTGCATACTCAAGGTTGTGCAGTTCACGAAGACGGGCACAAGTTTAGTCAATGTTTTTCTTGTGGCAAGTTCCACCCTTTTAATTCATGTAAATTTCGTAATTGTAAGTGCTTTAAATGTGGTGATGTTGGACATATTCAGTCAGTTTGTAATAATACTGTTCATCTTGCTGCAACTAATATTAAGTCTTGTGATTCTGATTCTATTAATTTAAATACTTATAATGATCATTTATCTTTATCGACGCTTTCAAAAGACAGTTTAGAGTCATATAGCAGTTCAGAGTTAAATGAAACTCAGAATTCTTGCGAGACAACAATTTCTAATGTATCAACCTATCAGATTTCTCATGTTATTGTACCAGATATGGTTTTTCTTAATCATTCACATATTTCTGATGAAATTTCTTACAAATCTGATGAGAATATTTCGGATGAATCTAATCATGATCGAAAATCTGATGTAGTTTTGATTGATGCTGATTTTTCTAACAATCCTTTACTCTGCAATGACATTCTTAATAAATTCGAGGAAACTATTTCAGAAGAATCGAATCTTGATGTCATATCAAATATTATTTGTCCTCATGATGCATTTGTTTCTTGTGAGAAACTTGTTCAATGCGAGGCACGAGTAATAAATGAGTTAGAGTTTGATTACAATTCAGATAATTCCAAATCAACTGTTGTTTGTCCTTACTCTAGTCAAATTGAGAAAGATGTTTTAAATGAAGCCACATTATTCGTAACCTGGGGATATGAAGATCCGACATTATTTCGTGGGGGAGGATAGTCTATGGTTCATATTCTAGGTAGTAGTTTCAGTATTCAACAGGCATGGTGATCGTTCACAATCCCAGAAAGCAAATAATACAGAGTCTTTATCCAATACATTGTCGGACAGATACAGTATGAACTTGAGAAGAAGACGTACAATTGATTACAGACACTTAGACTCTAATTTAAGCTGTGGCGGATGTGGTGTTTGAATGAACTAATGACTCCTTTGTACTTGTTGAATGTTTGATTTCGAATTCTAAATACAGTACATTCGTTAGTGCTTGTGTAGTACTTCTTGATTCAATTGCGTTGTCCCTGGGATTCTTAGTTCATACTATAATTCAATTACTTCTTATTATCATAAACACTCATGTTAAAACTCATCATTTTCTTGAACATCCTCACTGAACTTTCCTTATAGCAGTGAAGTATAAGTCAATAGTTTTTTCGTGAAACACTAATGTCACATTTTGTTTCAGATGGAATATTGTGCAGTATAACGTCAGAGGGTATAGAAGCACACTACTGTGTGGTTTTCAAAGGATGAGAATTAATGTTTTTGTATTTTCATTATTCAATTGTGTGGTTTGTCATTTAAATTGTTTTTCAATATGCGTTAGCAACCAACTAGATTGATTTACTTGAAACACCCTGAAGGAGTAGAAGACTTGATTCTGAATGTATTACAGCTTATACTAGATTCAAAGGTACATAATAGTATCAGAGTTACTTTGAATGTTTGTTAGAAATTTTCGGGCAATAATGATTGACTCACATCTATTTAACATTACAATTTATGAGTCAATTGAATCTAGACCAATGTGGAATACCTGGATGCATTGGACAGCTGACTTGTCCTGGTGTGGAATTCCCCAGTTGGACGAATCCATGATCTCGCTTTCTGGGAAAGGAACATAGGATATATTGATCTTGCCTTAATAACACTCCACAATTGAATAAATTTTTCATATTACACAGAGCTGGATTGCAACATGTTAGTACACTCCTTGATTACGTAATAAATAGAAATTTAAGTCTTCATTCTTAGATATTAATAAAGATAAAGATAATAAATCTCCTGTAATATAGTTATTTTAATGATAATTATAAGTTTCCCTCAAATATCCATCTAAGTAAACTGACCACGAGTGAATAGGGATAGGAATTATTGAAATCACTTTATATAAGTTATATTGTCATCCATTAAAACATATATAATTACTTGTAATCAGTATGCATAGACAAACAGACACATTTTAAATTGGTTCCATTTTAAATCAACAACAAAATCAAGTAGGTGCCCATCGGTCCAGAGTTCAACTTCAAAATGCTGTTATTTGGAACTGAAATATACAACTTTCAGTCTTGTTCACATTAACGATATCCGTATTGATTGATAAACTTGAAAAGAATACAGTACATAAAATCATGGCTGCCAATGAATAAATTGGATATAAAAGAAGATATTTTGAATTGTCAACAGTTAAATTACTTATAAATATTGTTATTTATAAAATTTATAAAACATTCATCAGTATGACGATTGTGATAATGTGAAAAGTTGGCTTGACGAGTTGTTTTTAGTTAGATGGTTGATTGAAATTCTTGATGCAGGATTCGGTCATTCCGTCATAATCTGGAATTATCCGTTAGTAAACATTTACGACCGTGTTGGAGAAACTGTTAGAAGTTAGGCATTTGCAGGTGAGATCGAAGATCCACGATTTGTATCTGTTGTTTGGGATTGTGGATGAGTGCTTTTGACGAGTCTCATACTTGGGCGAAACAGTATTCAGCGCTTTCATGTTCTCAATGGTGATTTAGTTTAGATTGACTCGTGAATTTCAATGCTTAGGAAACTGATAGCTGTAGATTTCATGCTTTGATAATGAATGCACAGATAAATGATTCTATTGAAACTCCTTTTTAGCAAACATAATTCGATAACCAAATTTAAATAACCGATGACACATCTTGTGTAATTTTATAAAGGAAATATTATCGAATATGATATTATTAGAGTTTCTCAGCTGAAATTATAAGTAGAATTCACTTTGTATGATTGTTTACTTAAATCTTAGCATTGACTTCGGGACTGCAATCAATCACTCTCTCGTATGGTCACACATTTCGTTCTGTTTGGGATTCGTCCGCTGGATAAATTTCAATCCTAGAGATGATGTTAACTTAGTACTGGGACTCAATAACTTTCGCTTTTAACGCCATCGCGTAATCTACTTATCTACTAATTCCTAATAGTCACTTACTTGTATAATGTTAAGTGGATTTAATCTTCAGCCCATCGCAAAACCAACTGGCTGTCAAGAGTCAGTTTCACAGCAAATAACGGATAGGTGTTTGAATCGAATACAGTAGTGTTTGATAGCGACATTCGGAGTTCGGTATGTTATGTTCATCAGTTATTTCTGTTTTTTATTGTAGTTTGATTGCATTTGTATTAGTCTGATTGATTACTTTCGTGAAGAAGACACTTGAGAAATATCCATTAAATGCCGCGCTTATATTCATTAATGTAAGAACTTCTGGTAATTTTTTCACATTTACTTTGCTATTATGTTTAATATAATCCAATGTAATAAAAAGCATGTAAATGAGAGTAAGAGTATTGCATGTAGATACGAACACCATACGACTGTTTGTTATGAAACCGATAAGGTTTGGGAAACCGAAATCCTGACTTATCTACAAGTTGATTAAGATCTTCGATCTGTTGAGATAGGCATGTAAGACGTTTCACCCACTGCCATAACACTGTAGTGAACTACTTTTGTCAACAGAACGCGATTGGTTCAATGAAAACAATTATTATTATAACCAATTGTACCAGTGACTGTTTTACTGTGCTCGTTTGTTTAACTGTGCTAATAACAGCCATTTTAGTCTTCCATTGTATTCCGTTGCTTTTACGCGGTTTTTGACTACGCACGTATCTTATCTTGCCGATCGCAACTATACTCCTTTGGCACGATCTCGGTATTCTTTCGACACCACGAGATTGCCAACAAATATATACGACTACTACAATCATCTGCCTTCTGATATTTTGGCCTACCGGAATTTTATTGGTCTATTGGCAAGTAGTCTTGTAGCGGTGTTCATAGTCCAGCTCAACTCGACACCACGCTACATTTGGTGAGCCAAATATTGGAACACGCCTCAACCTCGGTCAAATCTTTCAAAGAAGGCAATTCGGTGAGTCTATTGTTTTATCTATCCACGTCTGTCATATATTTTCATATTAATTTTTAATATATATATTTGACATGACGGATAACGATAAGAATAGTATTAATATAATAGACCCCGATTTACGCGTACCGAATCCTCGGCACTTTTTGTTCGCATGACGATAAATTCCACGCCTTATTCGAGAAATTCCCCAGATTAACTAAACCACTCGAGGAGATTTCATCGGTGACCAATCGTGTGGTACACCACATAGTCACCCGCGGACCACCAGTCACGGCAAGACCACGCCGACTGGCATCGGACAAATTAGCTTTCGCTAAACGTGAGTTTGACAATTTACTATCTGCTGGTATTATTCGTCCTTCTCACAGTCCTTGGGCCTCTCCTTTACACATGGTGCGCAAGAAGGATGGGGCTAGTTGGAGACCATGCGGTGACTACCGAGCATTAAACGTAGTTACGCGCTTTGATAGCTACCCCATCCCCCACATACACGACATCACGGCATCGCTCAAGGGCACGACTATCTTTTCTAAAATCGATCTGGTACGAGCATATCACCAGATCCCAGTCGCTCTTGAAGACATCGAAAAAACTGCTATCACGACTCCTTTCGGTCTGTTTGAGTTCCTACGAATGCCATTTGGATTACGGAATGCTGCTCAAACTTTCCAAAGGTTTATCGATAGCATAGTACGAGACTTGGATTTTGTTCACGTCTATACTGATGACCTGCTGATCGCATCATCAAATGTAGATGAACATTATCAACACCTTACGCTATTATTCCAACGTCTTTCGGATAATGCAATAGTAGTCAACCCAAAGAAACGTGAATTGGGTAAATCAGAAATAATATTTCTGGGTCACATCATCAGAAAAGAGGGTATTCTGCCTTACGAGGACAAAGTTAGAGCAATCAAGGATTACAACGCGCCGTCCTCAATCAAGAAACTGAAGGCTTTTCTCGGTTTGGTTAACTTCTACCGACTTTTTATCCCTCACGCGGCAGAACGATTACGACCATTAACCGATTTACTACGCGGTAATCCACGCAAATTAGAATTGAACGATACCGCACGTACTGCATTCTCAGAGATCAAAACGGCTCTCGCTGAAGTTGCACTCCTCGCTCATCCTGACCCATCAGCCACGCTTAGTATAGCGGTTGATGCATCAGATTTCGCTATAGGAGCCGTTATGCAACAGAATATCTCCGGTAGTTGGCAACCGCTTGAATTTTTCTCACGACGCCTTACTCCCACGGAGACGAGATATAGCGCTTTTGGTCGCGAGCTGCTTGCAGCTTAATGCGCCATCAAACATTTCCGGCACGCAGTAGAAGGACGTCAATTCATCTTATTCACCAAACATAAGCCCTTAACGTATGCTCTGCATACCAAGTCTGACCGCTACTCACCACGAGAGTGCAGACATTTGGACTATATCTCACAGTTCACGACAGACCTTCGTCACATTAAAGGCGAGTCGAACTATGTTGCCGATGCTCTTTCACGTATCCAGACGAATGCAGTTACCTTACCGGTGCTCGATCTTCCTGCTATGGCCGCCGCTCAAGCAAACGATCCTGTCTGTACTGAAGCACCACAATCTTCGTCCCTTCAGTGTCAGGAAGTACCTCTAGCTACTAGCTCAGGTACTATCCTATGTGATACGTCTACCGGTCTTCCTCGACCCATCGTACCCTCTACCTATCGCCGTCTCGTCTTCGATGCCCTTCATGGATTGTCTCATCCAGGTATCGCAGCCACATTACGTCTCATCGCTGCACGATACGTCTGGCCGTTCATGAATAAAGATGTTCGTATGTGGGTAAAACAATGCTTACAGTGTCAACGATCAAAAGTGCACAGGCACGTAGCTGCCCCCATTGGCACGTTCGCTACGCCTGATGCTCGCTTTGATCACGTTCATATAGACATTGTAGGACCATTGCCACCATAGCAGGGGTATGATCACATACTCACGTGCATTGACCGTTTTACAAGATGGCCCGAAGCTATTCCCATCAC